ATATATAAATGACAATTTTCTAATCAAAATTTTGTTAGCTAAAAAAGATATTTTTTTGAAAAGACACGATTTTTCATTAATTTCTTTACAAGTACAGACTTTTTGTTAAATGTGTAGATAAATTCGGTAAAAACGAAAAAGAAATAAACTAAGAAGAAAAGTTTTACTAAATTTTAATATGTTATTTTTGAGAAAAAATGTATCAAATTTTTGATTTATTAAATCTTAGAAGAACTTACAAATATCGAGTGAGATCTTCCACATCAACAAGCATCGAATCTTGCTCCATATGTAAATCGTCTCTCCTCAAAAGTCCTTCAACAAGCGCCTCGTTCAACACGGCGATTCTTGCGTGCAAGTCATTCGCTACTACTTGCAGTTGGGCGACATTCAATTCCGTGAGAAGAACACGAGATAATCTACGTCTGTCCTCTCCCAGCTGTACGCCGACCTGAAAAAGATTAAAAAATTTATTAAACAAACGATAAAAGAATAACACCTTTGGTAGAACTCACGAAACGAGATTCAAATACAGATTTTAGTGCTACAGATTCAAGTAGATAACTTCTGAAATTATACAAAAGTATCTAAAATTATATAAAATTATATATTTTTTAAGTTCTTTACATTTTTTTATTTATTTGTCTGAAAAACCGAAAGATATTTGTAATATGCATAATTCTACGAATTAAAGATTACTGTGTCAGTTTGTTATAAATTTCATTCAGATTGTTAATCTCATTTGTTAATCTCATATAAATTTATATATTTATTAAGAATTCGAATTGAGTATTTCATATTATCCTTCCTTTAATCACGTATATTCTGCTCCGCGATTTCCTTTGTTCAACGTTTTTTTTAGTATAAATAGAATTTACATTGTCTAAACTATTAACATGTTAAATATCGGACCTGATTCGCTTGTTTCTTCGTTACATTTAATCTATTTAAATTTACATGATTGAAAACAGTTATATTTACATATTTATACATATGTGCATTTTTTACTTTATAGTGTTGAGTTGATAATAATTATAGTTACAATTACAAATATTTACGAGTATCGTGATCATCAATGATCAGTGTCAGGCGCTCAACGTGTGTTAAGTCAGTGGAGCGAAACTTTACTAACTTTCTCTAAGCTGCATCGCACCATCTCGGTAATGGGACTTTGCTTCAACCTCTGCCTCTCCACTTCCATTTGCATATGTGCCATTTCTTTGGCCTGTGCCAGGGCCATTCGCGCCTCGGTCTGCAGTCTGGCTTGTCGCGCGAAGAAGTCGGCCTCGTCGACCGGTGGTGTGGAATTCGCGCCTGTGTCCAGTCTTAGAGACGGAAGACTCAACACCTGTGGCCTTGTCGGTGCCTGCTGCTTTCCACCGAGTTGCTTCGAACCGAGAGACGTAGGCGTGGATCCAGGAGACGTGTCATTTTCTGAACCCGGGGACTCTGTGTCCGATGATGTCTCATTCATGAAGCAAATCTGAAGATTCATTCCTATTGCGAAATAAATAAAGAGAAGCTGTTGCAATTTCTCGTTTCAAATTCTGATCATAAAAACATGTGTGACAACTAAATTGAACTATTTAATTATTTGCGTATCTATCAGTTCTATATTAATTAACATAAAAAATATTAAATGCATGTTTTCTCTAATACATGCAAATAAAAATAAGTGAATATAATGGAAATGGAAATTAAGGCAAATGAGAATCAGCGCTGTTCACGGTGCGCAATTAACATTTCTTTGTTACAAACTTAAATATATGTATAATACAGACGTTTCGACTCAAGTTTGAGTCATCTTCAGTGAATATAAAAATAAGGATAAGATCCTGCGTTCATCCGATGCGCTCGATGTTAAAATCGTTAATTAAATTTATTATGACATATATATGAAACAAGACAACAGTCTTTAAGGGATTGTCAATTATCAGATGAACACAGTTAACACTAAACCGGAGAAAGCACACCGCACAGCACGTCCGCACTTTCTGAGCTCCAGGTAGTAACTGAAGTGTGCTACTCGGTGCGAACCGTGCCGCACTTAAAAACGCGTGCTTAAAGTCTTATTTTTTTTAAGGATGACATATATGTACGGTCATAATAAATTTAATTAACGATTTTAACATCGGTGAGCGCATCGGATGAACGCAAGATCTTATCCTTATTTTTATATTCACTGAAGATGACTCAAACTTGAGTCGAAACGTCTGTATTATATATTTAAGTTTGTAATGTTAATTGCGCGTTAATTGTGACAGCGCTGATTCTCATTCGCCTTAATTTTCACATTATATTTAACACCGAGAATCACTTTACTAGTGAAAACACAATTTTCACAGATGTTTATTAATAAAATATATAAAAATATATATAAATAAATTTGATAGACTGTCATTTTAAAAGATAATCATTCAAATGCTTTTTTATATTTTTTCTTAATTATAACTTAATTATAAGGGAAATTAAAAAATATAAATCTATTACCACTCTGAAGACGTGACTGGAGACTCGGTTTTCGTCCACGTTCGGTGCGTAAATCTTCGGCATCAGGTCCCATTGCGAGTCTTCGTCTAATCTCTTCGCGATCGTTTCGTCGCTGCAAACATAAGAAAACATAGTATAGTGGTATGTTAGTCTTACATTGTTGAATTACTCATGAACTGCGATAATCCCTAAACACTTGACCGTTGAATAATATGCATATATCATAATTTGAAAGTCTAAAGTATATTGAGGTTGTTGCATATAGTATATTGAAAATTATAGTTTAAAAACTTCTGGTTCTTAGAAGACTAATGGCTTTTAAAAAAAATGCTTTTACGACTTACTACATGTGAATTTATAAAAAATTAAAATATACATATGTATTACGCTTTAATTCAAATCTAATTTTTGAAGAAAAGAAAACAACTGAAAATTCATTTGACATCCAATTTAATCCGCTTTATATTAAATATATTATAATTAATATAATTAACAGCAAAAATTGATATTATTATATAATTTTTACGATTTTTGATGTTGAATACATTGCTGTTCTCACTAAATTTTGAAGCACATTTTTTTCTCGTATTTGTCGAATTAATTCACACCTGCAGATTTCCATCAAATTCGCCTCGTATAACTTTGTCGAATCGCGTAATCAAATCTTCCCTTTCGTAATCATGCCTTTCCAAATTCTTTCCCTTCACTTCTTTTTTCTCGAGTTCCACGACCAGTTCCGGAGGTTTATCCGCTTCCGTAATAGCCTCCTCTTTGTCATCTTGACGCCACTTTCACAAATTAACACTTTTATCTTTCGTGAAATCTAATACACGCGACGATATTTCTTTAATCTTTTGCGAAGGGCGACAGACATCCACAGATTCGAAAACGAGACCCATCAAGTACACATTACGACAATCGAGAACAATTTTTTTCTGAATCTCTTAACGCTGCTAAAAATTGTAGGATGTTACGAGAATAATTTAGAATCGACTTTTGAATCGGCAATCTCAGACTTAGATTATTCTTAGATAAACCTTTGTAGTGATATGTAAGGTAATTGCAATTATAACAAGGAGATTTGCTTCTATGCTAAAATCTGTTTGTTCATTAACATCGCGACTTCCGTGACCTACTTTCACGTCTGCGTCGATCCGGAACCGTACCGAATCGCGCAGTTCGTCGATCTTCCTGTTAGAACGACAACACGAATAAGAATCTGGAATTATTAAGTCTTGGCATATCTGACATCCAGACGTAATAATGCGGCCGTTTTTCCCGCACGTGCATCACGGTCATACACACAAGATCGGTTGAGAAATGTGTAAATAATTCCTTATATTTCGTATATTTTTTTCCATATTTTAACATGACTTTTAATATTAACATTTTGAGTGTTTTGAATTAACATTTCTTAGTTCAAGAATATTTAAAAACTATATTGCGCTGATGTTTTTCGCTTTCCGAGTGTTGGTTTTAAATATGCTACGATGACTGTTTGCACTGTTACGCAAAGAACAACAAACGCGAAAGGAAAATATACGATTAAAATTGCCAGCGTAATCAACAGTAACAATGTGATGTTCCATTTCCTTTTTAATTTTTATTAAAACATTAAATGAAATTATATCTTCCTCGATCATTAAATTTTTCTAAAATTATCAAATATAATTTTTTAACTTTAAACCAATATTATTTCTTTATTCAATAAACTATAAATTATCGCTTTTTCTTTTAATAATATTACATTCTCTCAATGACACTGAAATGACCAAAAATTGAAATGACGATGTAACTCAGATATTCTCTACCGTTTGGAGAACGTTGTAGAAAAGATTGAATCGCGGTAGAAAAGTCAAAGTGACTTCGTGGAATACGTTTCAATAGTTTAGAACGTAATAAAAGTGATCAATGTCGACCTGTCACTGGGAGGTAAAAAGAGCGAAATGCGATAAACGTCATACATATCCCACGCTCTTCCAGCCGCAGAAATTTAAGTGCTCCGATTTTAACGCGTTCACTTCATGTTTTTTTTCGCATATTTATTTTTTTTCTTTCCAAATTACATTGGATGTACTGTTCGCCCTTCGTCCTTCGCATCTCTTACACAATCCAGATCGTCGCCGTAAGTGAACGTGTAGAGATCCGCGACGAATCTCGAGTCCTTCTTGTAATGCTTGCGCGACTTGCTGCTGCTGCCCATGATCGCGCACCTCCCTTGTCATGCACCACCTCCTTTATCCTGGCAAAACGAATTGGAATTTCTCTTTTCCCAAAGTTCCCTCTTACTTCTTCTTATTTCTTCTTTTAACCGTCTTATTTCTCCTTATGTCGCTCCTCTCCTTCCTGGCCTCGCGAACAACTCGTTTTCCCTCTTTCTCGTGCTACAAAACCGTGATCTAGAAAGGGAATCGGACTCGAACGAGCCAAGGCTGCCGAAGGCGCAATCGACCCCGAAGACGAGCCACGAGACTTGCACGCGCCCGAGACCAAGACGGTACGAGACTGAGACGAGAAGGCGAGTCGAGAAAGAGCCTTCGTCGAGGTTTGCTAGCCACGGGGGAGGCGTTGAATGACGATGCCGGCGGTGGTGGTGGCCGGCAATCGTGGAGGTGGTGCCCTGTCTACTGGTGCCTAGCATCTAAGGAAAGCTTCTCACGGGAATCCTTGGTGAAAGTGCTGACGGCGGCGAGAGCGTGTTGTGTGGTTAGCGTGCGTGTCTGCCGCGTGTTTCCGAGTTCACAATTCGCTCCGGAAAATGGGTGGAGAATTGCATTTGATGCTGCGTTTCCTGCGGGCGCTTACAATATATAGATATTTCGAAATGAATGGTCCGATAGTGAAATTCCCCGCGGTCCCTGTTCGCATTTTGTCCGCATTTCATTCGGAAATAAAATGTTCCAGCGCAAGATAGATTGTATCTGCTCTGCATTGTATCGTATTTTGTGCTACATTGTGGAGTGTACATTACATGACTTTTGTCGCTTAGCGTGCTTTGGTAACTTGATAACCTGGCAACTCGATAACCTGACTGAACCAAGATCAAAAGCGCGCCTTTCGAGGAATTTGTCTGAAAAAATACGACAGCGTGTCTAATTTCTTTCCTCATTAAGTTCAATCGGAGATTAAAAATACTTCGATAAAAAAAAAAAAAAAAGGGCCAAGGACCTCATCCAAGTATTGACATATCAGATTGGATTAATAAATCACACTTCGTAAAAATAGCACGTGCAAATCACCTTTGTCCATATTTTATGCAAAAAAAACCTTTGATCGATTTAATTTCTGCTATTTTTATGCGTATTCTTTTTCCCATGGAAACAATACAAACTATTGTGCAACTACGGTATATTTCGCCGTATATAGTAATTAGATACGCGAGATAGAAAGTTATATATTCAACGCATCTTGCGCATAATATAATTATTATCAGCTGAAAAGTCTGGAGAGTGATCTGCCGCACGCAAAAACACTTTGAAATTACGTCACGCAGGCTGCAGCGTCGGTCGCGTCGTTGCAACAAAAGATCGTTAAATCATCTTCGGGATCGTGCGTAAAGCGTTTCGGTTGATCGGTCATGCGTGACTTTTGTCCTGTACGCAATTCAACAGCAATTCGGAGCACGTCTGTTCTCTCGATTTAGGACGAGTAAAAGTTAAAAATCTGTCATCGCCACGAGAACAACGCGCGTGTAGCGCGCAGAAAAAGAAATACATCTTTTTTTTTTCCTCACGAATGGAAAACAGACGACTTGCTTGTTGCACTTCATCTTTTCGTGAAATCATGAATGTGTCGAAGTTTTATCAATCGCACGATATGAATTATCGCGTCTGATGACTCTTCTTCATTTTTAATTGTTCCTCTTGATTAATAATTGTTTCATCGTCGATTAAATTCCGACAGATATATTGAAAAAAGGAGGGAAACTTTTAGAAAATCTGAAGCTCGGCTTTCCTTTGAAAAGCTTTCGTTATGTATCTCGGCTCCAAGTTCTCGTATCAAATAGGATATATACACGTCCGCCTACTACAGATGCCCCCGCAAAATGCATCGATGCAAATGCGAAAGCTTAGATATTTATGTACCGCCTGGTGTTTGCCAAACATGTTTAAGAGTCCACGATAACGAGATAGGATATTGGAATACATGTGTGAACGAACCGAAGATTTCCATTGACCCGGGAGCTGAGATGAGTTAATTTAAGAATTTATTTTTGTACAAGAAAGGAAATATTGAAAATCAATAGAACTACTATATCAAGGTATTACATATCAAAGAGTGAATTAGTGGATAAATATACTCAAAATTGTCCCTTTTACGGTATTACTTAAGAATCTATATGAGATATAATATTTAATAAAGAAATAATGATTTTTGAATTATATATAATACTTCAAAGGAAGAAACCGATATACCGTTTATCATCAAATAATAAAATTATTATATAAATTCACACAATCTGCTTATAATAAGAAATAAGTATCTATTATTAGCTTACGAGAAGAATTGTTGATTACTCACCCGACGTTCTTCCTCGCGTGCGGCTCGGAGATGTGACTCGATTGCATCCAGGTCGATCTTTGGCATCGCTGTCTCAATGTTGTAAACGTCGAAGCCACCTTCAACGTATAATGTCAAACATTGAGGAAGGACCTTTTTCGGTGACGAGTAACGACGAGGCTAAACACGCGACCGAAACGGAGCCGAACGGAAACTAGCGAGTGTTGGAGCACGGCGTGCTTGTAATCTCGAGTGGCCGGTTAAAAATTAGGTTTATCTCCTCAGCCATAAGGGGCGTAATCAATAAATAAATAAATATACACATATATCAATAAATGTATGTCCATTATATAATGTATCTCAAGGTCAGATAATATCATTCAATATTACTTTCTTTTTATTAAAAAAAAAAGTAAATATTATTTCAGAAGAATGTGTAAGAATTGATAAAAAAATTTTACTAAGATTCACTAATATTTATCAATTAGTTTTAATAGTAGGCTTGCTTCGAGAGAGATTTGAATGAAATATCAGAATATTTGATATTTAAAAATTATAAAAGTTAAATTAAGAAGAAGTTAAATGATTAATAAAAAAATCTTAAAGGCATGTGCGTAATTACATATAATGATTACTCGCAATCACCGTTAATAATGCAATTATTTTTTTCAATTACTAAAAAGTTGATTAATTATTTCCGGTGGAATGTGCCGTAAAACGCATTACGCATAATCATTAAAAATAATACCTCGCTTCTAAAAAGAGATTGTTGAAGAGGTATGGAAAATTATAAGGCGGAAAATTATAAATTTGTATATATTTACAATTTTGAAAAAACATGTCTTATAAAATTATTAAATATCATTCACACTAAAAATTACTATACTATTAATAAACACAAGGATATTATAAAAATAATCATGGAAATAGAAAAGTAATAATAATTAATATTAAAAATTAATTCCAGCGGAGGATCAAATGTTGAAAATTAATATTCATAATCATAATAACTAAACGATATAACAGAGGAGAAGAGATACGATCAGAAATGAAAAAAACGTCTGAACGACAGAAGAGATACATTATGACACGTGTTGAGATACTTACCAGATCCATTATCCATATCAGCTCTGCGCTTATCGGGACGCCTCTGAGAGTTGGAGTTTCGCGATTGCTGCTGTTGCTGTTGTTGCTGCTGACGACGCTTGGCCTGGTTTTGGCCATCTTTTCCTTCTTCCGGGCGTCCGCGCTGGACATCTCCGGGAGTTCGCGGTCCAGCAGCTTGTTGGTGTCGACGTGATCCTTGACGATCGAGGCGGACCGCGATTGGCGCATATTCTCGATTGACTCCATCGCGACCACGTCCGGTACCGGCTGGGCGTACTTCTCGAGATCAACGCCGATGTCACGGCCGATGCTCGACAGCAGATCGATCTCCTCCAGCTTCGTGTAGGTAGGTCGTTCCTCGGCGAAACCCTCGGAGTAATCGCTATTGTTCTCCGACTCGTCGTCGTCGGCCGAGCCGTCCGTCGACGTCGTCGTCGTCGTCGTCGTCGTCGTCGTCGTCGGCTGACGGTTGCCTATTTTGGACCGATCTGGATGAGGCAACTCCTTTGCCTCGCGTATCAGGTCGATGTGCTCCACCGTGACGTCCTCCGTCTACGCGTCCACAACCCGAGATCATTTTCGTGCTTAATCGACCGTGCACGAGAGCGTCGCGAGTCAGACGGGCGTGAGGCGCCCGGTGACAGGAAGTAGAATTAGTCGGAATAATAATTGTCATGCAAATCAATTGCACAACAATGTTAAAGGAGCCTCAGAGAAGAAATTGAGTATTCTATGATAATCAGATTTAATTTTCATTCTGCGATTAAATCACAAATTTTATTAACTATGGACGAACAATGTAGCAACAGCACGATTTAGAAATTTACAGAATTCCAGACATTCAATTTAAATACTAACGATTGTTAAATATTACAATTAATTGTTACTATAATAATTGAATTTGATTATAATTAAACAATAGAGAATAAAATTTAAATATTTTATAAATAAAATCAAATTAAATGGTGAGTATTATTCAAAATCGCATATCTATAGACAAATTAAATAATCTTCATCTATTTTAATTTTTTTTATCAAAGATAATATTTTCTGCTACAAAAAGCTAGTAGGATTTCTTAACTTGATCTTAATAAATTGTCACGACAGAAAGTCGCCTTCAAGCTCACCTCGCCGATCTCGCTGGTCTTTCCGGAGTCCAGGATCTCCTCGATCTCCGGAAACTGCAGGCTTTCATTCACGCCGGTGGTCAACTCCACCAGCTCGACCTCGACGGATACCTCCCTTTCGCGTTTATCCTCAAAAGTCACCTGCGACAATTCGGGGGGGCGCTCGTCCACCTGGTCGGCCAGACCCTCCTCCCGCTCGTCGAGGAGCGTCAGGTGGGTCTCCGCCTCGACGATGCCGTTCACGACGACTTCTTCCGGCTCTGGCGAGAGCGCCTTCTCCTCGGACCTAGAGACCTCCACGCTCTTCACGTAGTTGATGCACTTTTCCGAAGGCGGCACCACCGACTCGTACAGAGAGGTCACCGTCTGGAACACGAAGGAGAGACGAGAGTGGCACGATGATGTCACGCGAAGTATGCTCGTAGGAGTATGCTCGATTATTTTTACGCGTTGATAACCCGCGACTCGGGCTGACTGCCGCCCGGTTTTGCCCAGTGACAGGTTTGACTTACTCATCCTCAGAATGAATTCGCGCGATTGTCGTGACGTGACTCGCGCAAACCGAATTAGTCTAACACTTCCGCTGACGACCGACGCAGGGGGATCGAACGCTCTTTAGCTCACTGGAGAGAGAAAGTTGATCATTCGGTGACCCAATCGCTCTATTAAAATATTTGGAAACGGAAGAGCTTCGATCGGGAAAGATCCCAAACAAAAAAAAATCACTTTCAGATATATATTTATTCGCGATAAAAACATAATTTTATTTGGAATTCAATATTTCCGAAATTCTTCGCTTTCATAGAAAAAAAAGGATCTTGAAATTGAAAACTTGAACATACAACTCGAACATATCGTATCGAGATAATGTATACAGACGATACAAATGACATTGTCAAATATTGTATAACATTATTCGCATCTGTAGACTCCTATATCCTGTTCATCGCTCCCTTCGATGTTCAATTACAAGCCACAATCGACAAGCCGCAATTCACTCAAACGCCGGATGTTACCTGTATATTGAACTTCGGCTTCTCGTAGAAGGTCTTGCGGTCGTTGCGCTGACCGCCGAGGTGGTTGATGCTGTCGTCGATGTTGTTGTTGTACTCGTTGTCGTTCTCCGGCAACGGGGCCACCACCTCGTGGTGATGTTGGTTAACGCTGTAGTGCGACGGGTAATCCGAGCAGCTGTCGTGCTCGTCCTCGGTCAGGTCGGTATCCGACAGCAGGGATGGCGCCAGATGCTGGAAGCCGGGGTAGTTGGGGTTGACGATGCCGCGACAGCCCGCCGGCAGGTTCCCTTCCTCGGACCAGTCCGACCACTCGGACGGCGTCAACTCGCGCGATGAGAGTTTCTCGTGCGGAGAGTTACGCCCTGCAACATTTCGCGGTTACGCTCGTCTCAGCATCAGCCGGATAATCGGACGTCGTAATTCGTGACTCATCATCAGGCCGATTGTAGGGAATGTCGAGCATCTGTCTCGCGGCCCACTTGGCACGCATATGTATACGTCGCTTTATACGCGCTGATAAGAATAAATTTTCCTCGTACTCGGTTCTAACGATTCTCGTAGAATTCTTGCCGATTACTGGCTGCTAGATAGAAGTCGACTGATAGATATCGTTAGTCATCAGTGGATGAAGCGATGCCACGATCAATCATCTGGTTCTAAATTTTTGATTTCATACACGTGGATTACTTGTACAAAGGACTTGGCTGCGCAGATTCTTTCTATAGGCTGATCCTTTGCATGGATCTTTGACTTTCTGGGACAAGTGAACACGGTAAATTATTACCAGATGTAGAAGATAGCTCAAGTTTCATTAGCATGATGTAGCATTAACTCCATAGATCGTTGACTCTAGAAATTTCACATTTCATAAATAATAACTGATTCCGTATGCTATTTCTGCGCTGCTGATTTCTGCATTTGAGAGATGCATATGGATGATAATTGTAGATTTAAGATCTTGTATAAATGATGGTCTTTTCTTGCGTGCGATAAACTGACTTATCACGAAAAGTATAAGTATATATTTTGTGTGCGGTACAACCGTGTGCGAATAACTTTGGTTAAACTAAAAAATTCCGAGCTTGTGCACTTTACGGATAATGGTTAATGTCAAGGATATGCGCGTTATTAATGGCAGCCGGTGGAAAATATCGAAGTTCGCCCAGGCACGTTTCTGCAACGGAACCTTCAACCGCCATTGTTTTCCAATAAAATCTCGGGCATCGGCATAGCGCTTGAAAGAAGCACTATTAAAAAGCACAACTAAAAAGTAGGTCAATTAATTGCTCAATAAAGATTATCATCTGCGACGTTAATAGATCAAATGATTCGAATGCATTCAGATATTCTTTAATCGAAGATCGTGCATGATCAACGCAAAAGATGTTGTTGTTTATTTTGTCACTCCAGCTTTCTGAAATTTCTTTACCATTGATTTTTTCTTTCTTTTTACTGCATGAGATTTTTCGAGATTGTGCACAATTTAATCACAGGCTGTTTCATCTTTTCAACATGATTGAATTGTATATGGAATGATTCAGGGACGAAGGAGCTCACCTTCGTAATCGGCGAGACTCTCGGCGGAGCTGCTCCTTTGTATCTTCAACTCGGTTAGATTGTTGTTTACGTTGGCGGATTGCTCTTCGTTCGTGCCTAATAACACAGGTCTTTTACTAAATAATAAATAAATAATTTTCTTTTTTTTTATCTTTCTAAAAGTATCTTTACACTCTAACAATCTTTTTTCCTCAAGTTTATTTGTCATATTTTTTTGATATCATTAAATCGTGTATGATACGAAGTGGACGCATTGTATGAATGAATTGTATGACTACGCATGTCAGTCATGCGAATTATTTCACACACGAATAAATAAAACTGAACAAAGCAAAATGTAGATATAGTATAAATGTCGACGTGAATGGTAATCAACTATGACGTCTTATTGAACTGAGAGTATTATTTTGATTCAATTAATTATTAATCATCCCAAGAAAAAGCAACCGTTGAATATTTTATATTTTATAAGATATAAAAGAAACCTTCACAGAAAATAACCGGCCCTATTTAAATCAATACAAGTTCGTAGTACAACACACACACACACACACACATCCACACGCAAAACGCATGCTCACCTTCGTAATCGGCGAGACTCTCGGCGGAACTGTTCCTTTGTATCCTCGACTCGGTGAGATTGTTATTAACGTTAACGGGCGGTTGGGCTTGCAGGTTGCTCTGCTGCACGTTGTCACGCGCGATCGCGAGGGAGGACCACGTGGTGGTGTCCTCGGCCAAGTGGAAGTCCGCCGACTCGTCGTTCGGGTAGTCCGGCTCGGGCGCGACCGGCTTCTGGGTCGCGTTCTCGTTGCGATCGCCGATCTCGCCGGCTCCGGTGCTCCGGCTCGGGCTGTGCCTGCGGAGCTGGCTGCGAGCGAGACCGAGAAATGAGTCCAGGTGGATCGATACTAGCGTTACTGTAGCGTCAGGTATACCACTCGAGCCCGTCGATGCCGAGGCGGCATAGGCGGCAGCACGCCTACGTGCCGTTACGGTGACGGATCAGACATTTATATTTAGCGTAACTTTTATAACTAGGAAATAATCAGGCGGCTTGGTCGCAGTCAGGCGAGGATTATGGTGATCGGTACGCAGTCCGCGACTCCGCGCGCACGATACGGCTGCATACGATGACGTATGCTTGTTCGACGGCTTCGTCACTTATGATTAGGTACACGTGTTGGAGAACGCGAATAACAAAAATATCTTTAAAGAGACACAAACATGCTCGCTGTAAATCGAGATATTAGTAATGAATATAAAATTGGGATAAATAACAGATAACAGTTTATAAATTTGTTCGTTGCCGTTGCTGAAATGTTGCTCCAAAATTATTTAGTGCAGATTTTTAAACAATTTCTAAATAATCTTCTTCTAAAAAATCTGATTTAAATTATTTTTAAACATTATATATTGTAAGATCTAAATAGAGATAACAAAGCAACGTGTGATTTTTTTTTTTTTAATAAAAAAAGTACTTAAAATAGAACGTTCAATGGTGGTTAAAATTATTGTAGCGATTTGAAAAGATTTAAGCTCAAAATAAAAGTGATTAAAAAAAAACAACTCTGGTTACAACGACCACTAAAAGCAGTACTTGAGACACATATTACGTAATATGGAGAACAAAACTGGTAACTTTCCGCGAACCGCGGCGTTTGCGCTTCCGCATTCGTTTCCAACGTTTCGATTAGGGCGATCATTATCTTCGCACGTGATCAGCCAACCGACCGGCTGCCAATTAACCCCCTTCCGAGCGCTCGCCGATCTCATCTCGTCGTCGGGATACTTACTTATTGTTCAGTCCACCGGGATGTATCGGCACCGAGACCGAGACGGACTCCCTGAGTCGCATATCGATTGGTCCTCGTCTGAAAATGAACGAAAACGGCCGACTTAATTCACCGTCCATCGAGGGAGAAAGAGAGAAAGAGAGAGAGAGAGCGAGAGAGAGAGAGAGAGAGAGAGAGAGAGAGAGAGAGAGAGAGAGAGAGAGAGAGAGAGAGAGAGAGAGAGAGAGAGAGAGAGAGAGAGAGAGAGAGAGAGAGAG